ACAATATTATAAAGATGAAATAGCTGAACGAGAAAAACAATTCTATTATACATATGACGATGCAATAAAGATACAACTGTCGCAATTTGCGAATATACAAATAGCTGATAGACATCTAGTAATGCAACAATTAATAGGCGATATGAATAACAATAATCTTGACCACATCAGCAAAATTTTTAAGCAGATATATATCGATATATAGCAGTTAATCGATATATATCGATTAAAAATTATCAATATATATCGATTAACTGCTATATATCGATATATATCACTAATGATAAATAACGATTATTGATATATAACGATTATAATCACTATCGATTAATAACGATTTTATAAAATTTGACCAATTTTTTTAAACTTTAATGTTAATTTTCTTGATAACTATCATCCAAATCGGCTCAAATTTTTACCACATATAGTATATATATTCAACTATAATATAGTAAAATTTCAGCCAATTTGAAGCAATATTTCTTGAGAAATCATTTGTTAACAATAGTTAATTTTTTTAAAAAAATTAACTATCGTTAATAAACGATTTCTCAAGAACTATTATTTCAAATTGGCTAAAATTTTACTATATTATAGTTGAATAAATATACTATATGTGATAAAAATTTGAGCCGATTTGGATCGATAGTTATCGAGAAAATTAATGTTAAAGTTTAAAAAAATTTAACGAATTTTTGTTATATATCGTTAGTAATTACTAACGATAATAATCAGCAGGGGGGTTGTATATCGATTGTAATCTAGGGGATTACTATCGATATATAGCACCTTTTAAATTTTGCTGATGCATGAAAAAAGAGAAATAACTAGACAAAGATATTGGGCAAATATTGCTATAGAAACAGCAAGATTTGATAAAAAACAACAAATCGAACAAAGACATCAAGCAAAAAGTAACATTAAAGATACTGATACTGACAGTGTGATATCTGATAAAATGCACCAAGAAGAGTCAGATATATTCTTTACAAATTTATACCAGGATCAACAAATAGTAGACCCTGATGAATACCAGAAGCCATATATTTCACCTACTATGTCAGAACTAAATATTGGCGAATCCTCTTATTCGCAACAAGAACTAATACCTTCACCATCACCAAGGTATTCTACGAATACCTCACCAATGCATACTAGAACAGCATCAATACATTCAACAGAAGATACAAATGATTTTAGTCAACTGGACACTTCACTGCATCCAATAACGATAGTACCAACAAAACCAAAATCATTTGGAGAAAAACTTAGCGATACATTCTCAACAGCAACTTCATATCTACCAAGGTTTTCTAAAAAGAAAACTATATCCGATTTAAGACAAACTGCAATGAAAGATAGTGCAGTGACACAAATAAAAGAAGAAGGTAGCCAAGTATCACCAGAAGAACAAGAATTCTACAGAAATAGAAAAATATCCTTTAATCAAAAGCATAAGGAACCTGAACAATCTAGTTCAATTATTATTGAAACTACTAAAGGGAAAGAAAGGTCAAATGAAGAACAAGTAAAAGAAATATGGGAAGTACCTTCAGAAGATCATAAATACTCACTTCCCTCAGGATCAAATATAGAATATAGAATAACTGGACACGATAACCAATCCCATGAACTATCACTACCAATAAATGAACAATCAGAACAATCATCATTATACCAATCAGAAGAAATATTACCTGAACTGAAACCAACGAGTGAACGACCTTCAACTCCAATACCAAGTAAGACTAATAACCAATATGGATACCAAAAAGAACTAGATTTTATTGAATTACAATATAAACCAATCAAAATGACTGGAAAAACTATTAAAATGCACAACGCATTAAAACATATACCCAATGCAATACAACGACATATCATACCCACAATAGGCAAAGGAACACCTATATTCACAAACAAAACACACATTATAAAACCATATATGTAGACAACAATATATATTGGAAATCCTAAAAAAGGAAAAGAATATTTAGTGAAAACACCAATACATATTGCACAAAACGGATTATCCCTCCAAGACAGATTAATCCGAGATTCGTTAAACAAAATACAAATATTTAATTAGACAAATAAGCCAATTAATATACCTAAAGAAACACATATAGGAAACCTAGAACAAGTCAAAGAAATCTTCGACTTTTAACCAAAGAATAATGATACTAAAAATGAAAAACAGCGACTTGAAATATTAATCAAAAACACTGACCCAAAATACAGAACAATGTTTGAACCATTGTTTAAAAAATACATTAAAGATGTATTCCGTATGAAACCTGAAGAGGCTACAGTTTTTAACTCTAAAAACTTTACACCAATAATATTCTTGTTAAAAGTACCTGAAGAAGAAATACCTAAAGCTCATAAATCAAGAATGCGAGTAAGACCTTTAGATAATGAATTACAACAAAAAGCCAACGAATTATTTGAAGAATTAATAAGAGATAAATATATAGAACCTTCAACATCAGACTGGACATCATCACTAGTAATAATTAAGAAACAAGACGGAAGTTATAGAATAGCTTGTGACTATACCAAGCTAAATTTGTATATAAAAGATGACCCATTTGAAATACTATACATAAACACTTTTTTACAAAAAATAGCTCAATATAAGTATTATGCAACAATAGACTTTAAAGCCGCATATCACCAATTCCTGTTACCAGAAAAGGAAAGAGATAAAACAACAGTATTTTTCCCTCAAAAAGGAAAATACCGATGGACAGTATTATCTATGGAACTAAAAACGGCATCAGCATATATGATGAGATATATGTATAAAATATTTTCCCACTTACTGTTCGTAGTAGTATATATGGATGATGTAATAGTATTAGCACAAAGCCCTGAAGAATTATTAAAAAATCTTGAAATGGTATTCGAGAGCATAAAAAGAGCGGGCATGGTGTTAAAACTTGAAAAATGCGAATTCTGTAAAACAGAAACCAAAATTTTGAACCACTTAGTATCATTTAGAAAGATACACTCTAATCAAGTCAAAAAAGAAGAAGCTAAAAAACTGAAAGTTTCTAAAGACGTAAAAGGAGTCAGACAATTTACTGGATTCATGAACTATTTTAGAAGATTTATAAAAGACTTTTCTAAAATCGCAAAACCTATTTACGATCTGTTAAAGAAAGATTTACCTTTTCAATGGACGAAAGAATGTCAAAATGCATTTGAAACTCTAATAAAATGTGTAGAAAATGCTATTGCATTAACCTATCCGAAACCTGGATACCAACTTATAATAGAAGCAGATGCTTCAGATAGTTCTATTGGAGCAGTGCTTAAACAAGTCAATCCCGAACTTATGCATTATAAAACTAAGATGCGTAAACTTGAAGATAAAGAAGATTATTGGACAAAATCACAAGAAGAAGTAATAGAATTCGGTTCAAAACCTTATTATCTACCCAACAACGATGGGGTAGCATGCAAAAAGAAATGTTTGCAATATATTATTATCTTACTAAATAGAAACCGTATATTGGAAATAAACATGTTATAGTGCGAACAGATAATACTGGAACTATGACAAGTAGAAAAATACCACGAAATACAACTATTGAAAGATGGCTTATAGAATTGCAAGATATGAATTATACTTTGAAACGAATACCTGGAAAAGACAATAATATAGCAGACTGGTTATCAAGACATTTGGGACAAACAAAAGATTCTGAAGAAGTACCACTGAAACTGAAAATACAACCAAAACAAGAATTACGAAAAGATTATAAAGAAAAACAAGAATAAAATATAGCTTTATTAATCAACAGAAAAATAAGAATATGGAGTAGAACACCTTAAATAGTCACAAGGTTGATAGTTGAATAAGGCATCATCGTCACTATAAAGACAGTTACAACAAATGAAATTACAATCTCTACAACGAATATAATCTCAACTAAAATTAGGATCTAAGTCCTCATAAAACTTATTATCTCTATGACAAGAATTCTGATCCTCAGATGAATGACTATTAGAATTAGAAAAAGTATAAGAATCTACATCTATAATATCAATATATTGAAGAGTATCTACCTGAATAGTAACAAAGTTACTCAAAGAAGAATTAGTCTCCCAATCCATATCAACATTAGGCCGAGATACAGAATTAGTGTCAACAGTAATAATATAATCAATTAAAAATTGCCCAAACTGAATATCTTCCTCAAACCAATATGTATCCAAGACTTCAGTAAAACTGTGACCCTCAAAGCACTTGTTATCGTAAATAAACCATTTATATCCCGACAAGTTGAATTCGAAATCCGGATCGATGTTGAACATAAAATCCTTAATAACCTTTATAAGAAACTTGTCAATAGTACTAGAATCACCATGATAAGTACCCCAGAGATGTTCAGCAAAAGGATAAGAGATAAAGATTTCTTTGGTATTAACATCGATACGAAGATGATCATAATCATTGATATTATTAAAAGAAGTATTATTGTTATTATTGGAAGACATTTTGGAATAAATAATAGTTTAGTTTTAAGTTATTGTTTAAGGTTATGATTCAGAATTTTAGTCAGAACAAATTCCGACAAGCTGTGGTTATATAATAACTAAGGTAACACATAGTTACACCAGATAATTTTGATAATCTATAAATACAACGCGAAAAAGAAAAGCGTGTAAACATCCTTATCTAATGGACCAACCACGAACTTCACTTATACCATATTGCTGGATAGTAACACTAGTAATTGAAACGTGAATAATACAAGAAGATTCATTTACACTACCAGAAGATATCTACTGGAAAACATTTGGATTACGAGAGTACAACGAATTCATTGATGAATTAAACGTCTAATAAACACGTAAACAAACGCGTAATATCCGAGTAAACAAAGATGATTCACACACCTTCTTATCGTGAATTACAAAGAATCTTCGAATCAGAAGCTCAAGCAATCGAATACTTACAAGAAAAAGAAGTACTATCTAAACAAATGAAATGCCCAAAGTGCAACCAAAGCATGACTCTTAATAATACTGTATTCGACTGTGTGAAACGCGCGTGTAGAAAAAGAATGTCAATATTTACAAACACAATATTCTATGGCGCGAATACGCCATATAATCGCGTATTGGAAATAGGCTATTTATGGATAATCGAGATGAAACATAAATCAATCAAAACATTCACAGGAATGTCACCAACAACAATTACACGATGGCTAAAGATTTTTAAGGAATTAGTCAGCTTTAATCTTGAAGAAGAACACCAACAAATAGGTGGACAAGATATCATTGTAGAAATAGACGAATCAAAGTTTGGAACACGTAAGACATGGATATACAATGAAGAGATAAATGAATTTGAAATGAAATTAAACTATATATGGGTATTTGGAGGCGTAGAACGAACGCCCCAACAAAAGATGTTTGCAATGATTGTAGAAGATAGGTCAGCAGATACACTGCTGAAACAAATAGAAAAACACATACATCCCGAATCGGTAATTTATTCGGACATGTGGAAAGGTTACCAAAATATTTACTCATGGCTAGGAATACAACACCACGCCATAAATCACAGCCAAGGCTTTACAATGAAAGATACAAATCCTGTGACAGGAGAAATTCAAGTGTACCATACAAACACTATTGAAGCACACTGGCAAGTGATCAAGTCAAAGATTCCACCAAGAGAATGCCGTTACCTTTTTACGGAATTATTAGTATTTATTTGGAAAAGACAAAACCCTCATGACCAATTCGAAGCATTGATAAGATGTTTACGAAGGACAGCCAAAATCAGTGACCTAACAAATAACACTGATATCATTGAAGAAATGAAAACAAGTGACAATGATCAAACAAGAAGTCATTGAAAAATAGGGAATAACAAAAGTACAGACGAATAAACATTCGAAAAGGATCTAAAAGATTCTAAAACAATCCGTAACATTCCAACAACTATTTAAGGACCCTAAATGAGATTCAACCCCGAACAGAAAAAAGTGACAACCGGAAAAACTAAATATACCCTGAAAAAGAAAATGTCTAAAGAAATTATCAATGACCCCTGGAGAAGAACTATCGCTGTCAATTGCCTGATTGCAATTACCCTAGGCTACCTGGTCATGATTGTAAAATATATCCAAGTAATCCTAATCATCAGAAACGATTTACGAATAATCAAAGAGAAAAAGAAATTATCTGTCCTGAAATGACTTTACAAGAAAAGTTTAAAATTTGGGATAATACCCCAAGAGAAGAATGTCCATTCTGTTTCCGAATGACCATTCTTGAACAACATAATTGTAGTAAACAAAATGGAAAGAAGTTTGATAAAGACTTCTTACTCTATTTACATCAAGAAACTACATGTGAGATATGCTTTAAGAAAGGGCATCCTAATTCTTATTGTCCAATCAGAACATGTAAACAGTGTAACCAAAGAGGACATATTGTTAAGAATTGTCCTAACCAACCACCACGAGTAACCGAATCACTTAAAGGATACTGGAAAAATGAAGAAAAAGGAAAAGATAAACAACCTCTTATTCAGGAAGGTTGGAACCTTATTTGCAAACATTGCTTCCAAGACTTCCATAAGGAATGCCCATACTTTAACTTGTTACAAAAACAGAAAACTGGCAAATGTGGATGTGATCTAGAAAAAGTACAAGAATTATGAATTTATTATTGGGAGACAGTTGGAAATAGAACCCATAACGAAGTCCATAAAGGACAACCATATCACTGCTGCAACTGCCAACGACCAGTTAGAAAAAATGATCATTTCACCTTAACGGATTCCCACGTAATAAACCTAAACAATGAATCAACCTATTACAAAGAAGTATTACTCTGTAAAACGTGCTACCATACGCATTATGAACATCTTGATATTGAAGACCCTAAAGCACAAGCGTATTATACTAAAGAAGGAATCAACAAATTAGCTGAATGCACATACTGTTGCAGAACATTCAGAAAAAGACAAGGTTACCAACTTTGGAATACCGGAACGTACCTGTGTACTTTAGAAGAAAAAATTGCATACATGGTACTAGGAGAACTTAGAGACAGACCAACTTATACTCGATGGAATAGAATTTATCACCGAACAAGATACGGAGTAGACGCTGACAAAACTATTAATGAAACAAAAATAAATCGTTTTATAAATTTAATGATCGAAGAAGGAGAACAACTTTATCAACAACAAGGAACCAAAACTTATAACCAAAAACAAATAATTCAACAAGAAAAAGAAATCAATCGGATATTTGATTGGCATATTACTCATTACAAGAAAATGGAATATCAAACAGCTTCACATGATGAATACGGAGATATTTTTAACGATTCCGTTAACATCATTCTAAATGAAATTTTAACCGAAGAACCGGTTAACTCGGAAAATCTAGCAGAAGAAATGCGAAACGCTCAACAAAACCTTACAGAACAGGATATCGCAACATATACAATGGATCAAGACTATAAACCACCTGTTGAACTTAACAGTACGAATTGGAAACAAAAAACTAAAGCATTCAAAGTATATGAAGAGCCTTTACTGGATATTAAAAACAAAGATTTATGTTCTGAATGCAAATATCCTTACGATGAAAAAGATTTGATTGACAACATTTGCAATGAATGTTACAAAGAAAGTACGCTTCCATGTGTTATCTGCCAAAACGAAACACTCAGAATCAATCTCAAACAAAATATTTGCGAAAAATGCTTTGAACCAGAAATAATGATCAATACAATGATCAATATTACACCAAAGTGTAATCACTGTAAAAACGAAACACCTGCGAATTTATTACAGAATGGAAAATGTAATATGTGTAGAAGGATCCAAGAAAAAGATGAAATCCAAGAAATTTCACAAGACGAATTTGAACCAAAAACGAAACAGAAAGAAGAAGAATTTAACTTTGAAAAAATTGAAAGAACTGAAATTGAGCAAATTAAAGAAAACGTTATTAACCTACAAATACTGGCGAATGAACAAGCTGAACATATTCAAATCCTAAAACAAGCAATTGAAATTCATCAATTAATGTTTAATGAACTTCACCAAGAAAATATTAACCTTAAACGAAAATTTGAAGAATTTGAAGAAAAAGACTATCTTTCGAAACTTCGAAGTATTACATTATTTGACCAACAGGTTCAACTATTCAGAACAGCAATGATTGGAGAATATGGAACTCTCAATGAAGATTATCCTAATAAACGATTTGACCCCATTTTAAAAGAATATATCCATCAAACTAAACAGAATATTTACGAACAAAAGAAAAGGTATAAACCAGATGAAAATGGTGAATTAGATTAATAACCCCAAAAATAAAAAAGGCACCCTCAAAATGGAAAGATGCCGAAATACACTAAAAAAAGCTTTAACTTTCTACAACATTCTATTTTAACAATATTATATTATACTTGTATAAATATTACTCATAATTATTCACAAACATGTATTGTTCATAATTTATTAATAAAAAAGTATAAATAACCAAAGTAACACAGTAACAAAGAAAAAGTTATAAAAGCATTAACTTCAGACTTAACTCTGAATCATGCCTCGGTATAAACGAATACCTAAAACACGAGAAAGATATACAATTTGCGAATACTGTGAATCTAAGGATTTACCTTGTGATAATAAAATACCTTGCACATTTTGTAAACTTGCTAATAAAACTTGTAAAAGAAACTATCGAATATCAGACAAAACTAAAGCACTCCGAAAAATATTTGACGCAAAAATAAATCTACTTAATACAATTGAAGAGGCAAAAACAATCTTCAACGCTTTAAATATACAACACACCTTTGATAAACTTTACGAAGTACTTGACGAAACACAAGATACTTCTGAAGAAGAAAGTGAATGCCACCAAGACGACCATGATATAAAAGACACGTAGAAGAACTATACATTACACAGGCTTGTATAAACTGCCAAATACTACACGTCAAGTGTATACGACCTAATCCAAACAAAAACTGTGAAGATTGTGCATTGCGAAAAAAACAGTGCACCTTCAACGTACAAAAGAAAAGAGGACCTAAACCAGGATACAAATTAGACCCGATATACATAGAAAACAATCAAAAGAAAATTGAGAAGATAATTCAAGAAAAAGAAAAAGAAACTCAACATAAGAATAAATCAAATTACTTATTTGAAGAATACCTTTACTCATTAAAGCGAAAGAAACAAGCTTTATGAAAAGACCT